ATATATAACAGAGAAATATATCAAAACACAAAGTTTTCATAACTAACATATGTTGTGGATATGCCATGATATTTTGCAGGGATATATAAGAAAGTCATGGCTCCGGGAGGACGTGTCTATAAGTAAAAAACACTTACTGGACAAACTGTTTCATCTACTCAATCTGCCGATGAATCAAATAAATGTACTCCTGCTACTGCCACAGGTAATACCAATTCTTATATAATACAACACATGGGTATTTGTAGCTGCTCGTGCTGAAATGGTAAGTTAAATTGAAATTCTTATGCTTACCTTAAATACCATGTTAAAGTAGTGCAACATATGTAAGCTATTCCATAGACTCACGTTTAGAACCAAACCTGTGGGCGATAGACTTTAGTATATATTTCCATGATCTTCTATTTAAATAATTTTGCTAAATGGAACTCAAGAAGCAGATTCCTAACCATTTGGGTATTTGATCGTAGCATTATATCATCTCTTAATGGATTACTACAAGAAGAAGTGATACTCTCATTCTTATATGTACGCCAATGCTTACTACAATAAGTTTTTAGATTTATTTTGTAGGGTGACATGACGCCTGAAGGGGTCGAACCTGATAGAATTGAGTTCTACAAAAATACACATTACTCAAGTGAAAAGGGTTGGGCATTTGAAGAAGCTGAGACTAACTATATGAGAAGCAAATATTCTAGTCATATTCAAAATAATTTATTTGATACTATAATAAGTTTGAATAATGTGATTTATATGTTTTGTAGAACAACATGATTGATTTGAAAGCTCTATATACTTCAAGAGAGTCTTCCATGACTATTGATGAAATTGTGGATGCTATACTTGGCAAAAAGTCGGGGTACGTAAAAGGCCTTGGTTATGGTCCAAAACCTAATAATAATCGAACAACACAAAGAAAAATAGTAGAGTTAGAAGATTCCCTTCGAAAGACGAAGGAGGAAGCTGCTAGTGTCACATGGTCTGCAAAAACGATTGGACGCAACTGAAGTTGTTGTAGAAAATCAGCAGTCTCAGATAGAAACCTTAACTTCACAGTTGGATACTCTATCAGCACGTCAAGATGATATTATGAAACAGCTGGAACATTTCATGAACTCATCCCGATCAAGGTTATAATTTATTTAATGATCATAAAATCTATTTCCATACATATACTTTTGTAGACATTTAGTACACATCTGTTAGCTCCAAAATAGATGCTTTAGATGCAGCATCATTATTTATACGACTTCGTGTAGAGACAGGAAATGTAAAAACGAGATCTCCATTTTTGTTTGTAATCACTCAACCGATGTGGTTCTTGACTCTTTTAGAAAACTTCCATCCATGTTAACTTTGATCATTACATTGGGAGGGTTATTCCAAAAGGATCTGTTTCCATCTAGGGATAGAACATTTATTGTTGATTTCGACTTTATAAACAACCATTTCACAGTTTCTATGGCCTTGTCGAACCTCAGAATGTCGTTTAAGATGAAAAATTTGTAAGCAATAATGATCAAAAGTCTTACTCTTCGATCTCTGGGGCCTTGAGGAGTATTGATCTTGTGGTGGCATTCTTTATTACAAGTTTTCTTGTTTCTGCCATGCTGAATTAGTCCTAAGAATCAGCTATACTACAATTCATTTATTGTTATGTCATGTTCTTACAGTTTAGTACAGTATCATTTAACTTTTAAAAGATTGTAGAGTAAGATTGTAGTTGTGTTGCTTTTATTCCTACACCTATTTACTTATGTAGCTCATATAGTTCTCTTTGTTAAGTAGATAACAACTTTATAGATTTTTATCGCCTAACTTTGTTTCCTTTTCATGATTAAGTGATCATTGATTCTTATCAAGTTATCCATTAAGGTACATTCAATAACCTCATAACTTTTTAGTTTGTTCGTATCATGATATCATCAAGTATGAAATCACATCTTAGATTTTCTTTTCTCTATTTTACACAGGTTGTGGAAGGTGAAAATCAAGATTAGGTGCGAGAGAAGTGCTTTTGCAATGATACTTTTTGAAGCAACCTCTATATCTTTATCTTTGTTTTGTTAATGTTTAGCATATCTTAGTTATACTTGAACATTCACTAAAAGTTACTTAATATTAGTTTTTCTTCGAGGAGTATGTAGTGAGATGTCATCTCGATGTCATTTTCTCATTGTTTTTTATTAGTTCTATATAATAGTGTGAAACTTATTATTATTATTATTAGGGGGAACCCATCGGTGCCCCCTTAAGTTGGCACCAATTTTCACTTAGACACTTCAACTCAACTTTGTTCATTTTAGACACCTTATATCATATTCCGCAATGTCATTTTGACACTTTTTGCTGACATGTCATAAAGAGTGTAATACACTCATTACCAACGCGTGAAAGGCTTATTTAATCGGGTTTTTTTCATCTTCTTCCTCATTTTTCGGCCATCATCTCCCACAACTTAAACTCCTTTTATGGAGAAATAAATTTGATAATGCTACACACAATAAAATGAATTTGAACCCATGGACTTATAATATAATGATATAATAAAAATTAAAAGATGACAATGTGAAAACCCCTGCTATCGTAAAGAAGAAGAAAAATGGAAAGTCATGAATTCATGAATAATCTCAAATTAGATTTGAGTAGTGGTATGTGTGGGTGTGTTATTCTATTCGAGAAGATGATGTGGGTGGGGAAGGGGTAGGGGTTTGGGTGGGTAGAGGCGGAGAATATGCTGGGTGGGTGGGGGAAGAGTGGAGAAAACGCAGGGGTTGGGGTGGGTGGGGTGGAGAAGATGATCTGGGTGGGGTTTGGTATTTTTATGTTTAAAGTCTTTTGGGAAAAAATTCCACGTGTCATTCACTCATTGGTCACTTCTTTTTTGTACTAAAAATTATTATTTGAGAAATATTTTTTTATATATATGCCACGTGTCTTTATTTAATTCGTCATTTTGACACGTCCTCGGCAAGTGTATTATTAATTACAAACACTTTATATATTTGATTGATAATTAAAAAAGTGTCAAAATGTCACAATGGATCATGACATGAGGTGTCTAAAATGAACAAAGCTTAGTTAATTAGGTGTCTAAGTGAAAGTTGGTGCCAACTTTAAGGGGCTACCAATGGGTTCATCATCATCTTTCTTTAGTATGTTTTTATTTTAAATCATCATCATCATCTTTCTTTAGTATGTTTTTATTTTAAATCATCATCATCATCTTCATCTTTCTTTAGTATGTTTTTCTTTAAATTTGTATCTTTATTATTATGGAACAAACTAGGTTATGAATTTTAAGATATTAATATATTGATTTAAAATTGTAAATTTTTGATAAATTATAAAATTCACAGAAACCTAGTTAAATACAAATCGGAAATAGTAGTAGTACGAATGACTAATGACAAAACATTTTGTCCTCAAAAGCATAACTTTTAGTGACGACTACATTATATTTTTTAAGACGGTAATATTTTCATCATAAAAGTATGAAATTTGGTGACCAGAATAATTTTTGTCCCAAAACATCCTACTTATTACTTACGAATTAACTTTGTATTTTATGACAGTTATGATCATCTCTAATTATGACATTCTATAGTGACAATTTTATTTTGTGAGTAAAGAAATATTTTTAGTGACGACCTAAATGTTTTCAACAACAAAATTATAAAAAAGTAAAGTTGTCATTAATTTATACATTGAGGGATAGAAAGAGAATTTGTATGTAAAGGGCAGTTTTTAGTGACAGGATAATATTTGTTCAATGACGAAATACATATCAATTTAGAGACAAATGACGTCGTCGCTAATTATATAATACAGTTAGTGACGCATCAGTTTCATCGGTTAAAAGATACTATTGCCTACAAAAAATATAATTTCTATGATGAACAAGTTTGTCATAAATACTATACATTTGGGGACGAAAAATATTTTTGTAGTTAATAGAACTCTAATTAGTGACGACTAACTTGTCGTTGTATACATTTGGTGACATATGATTTAGGGACGAATGCTTGACGATTTTTTTTTCATCACCAAATTTCTTTCGTGACAAAATACGTGTTTTAGGTGACAAAATTATTCGTAATGTTGATTCAATACATGATTTCAACTCTTTCTCTTATATCCCGAGGAAAGTTAGGGGATTAATTAACACAGATAGATGGGAGGTCCCTTCCTTCAGAACACAACAGGTCAAACCTTCTAGTTTTATTTATGAACCCCCTGAACCCTCTTTGTCAAGGAGTCAAGTAAGTAGGGTAATAGCTAGCTTAGACTCCCCCTTTATTGGTGTTAACTTGTAGAGTTTATCTAACTCTATCTCTACCCACAAGATCTTTTATTAAGTTTGGTATGCCAAACTCCAAAATTAATTCTTTCATATCAATAATCACCGGAGGCACATAAAAAAAAGATGGAGTATCTATTATAGTATCTTTTAATTTTTAAACCTAGTTAATTAAAGACTAATTAAAGAGCAAAAAATCAAAGTCGTCCAGACACAAGAGGCCTATGACCTAGGATATATTTATATTTGAAAATTTTAATAAAATATATTTATATATTAACAATTTAACATTTTATTAATACATTTTCATACATGTAAGGCATTCAGTTAGGTTCAGAAATTTATCATTTTTTATAGATTAATAAGATCATCTCAATTGTTCGGGATAGTTATACACTTAAATAAATCAAGTCCATGGTTTTATTGAAAAAAATGATGCAAATTGGTTCGGTATATTTAAGTCCGACGGATTTGGTTGATTTTTCATATTCTTTTGACACCCCCTAGTTTTATTCCATATATGAAATACAAAATGCATGTACGATGTTAGTTGTGGGTCTTAACGGTACAGAATAAGCTTATGCGTCCAATAGAAATGTTCAGAGTATATCCTAAAAGTGAGGTGTTAAAGCTGTTATTTCTCACCTAAAGACCATTTTCTGATGTAAAATTCATATTTGAGTATAACGAATCTAAGATGGTGGATGGAATTATGAAGAAAGTGCCCAAAGATGTGATTGTTGCTATAATTTTGAAATTTCCAGTGAAATCTCTTGTGCGATTCAAATGCATCTCCCAAAATTGCAAGGCTATCATACAATCATCCACTTTTATCAACCAGCATCACAACCGCTTAACAACTGCTACAGATGAATTAATACTCTTCAAAAGGTCCATCAAACAAGACACCAATCAATATAAAACTATCTTGTCTTTTCTTTCAAGTGATGATTGTAATCAGTTCAACCCCATTTTTCCAGATCTAGATGCGACTTACCTAAACTCTAATTATAGTAGTGATTATGATCAACTCATGGGTCCTTGCCATGGTTTGATTGCTTTGATGAATTTCTCTAGCACCATATTAGTTAATCCGTCTACACAAAATTATAGGCTTCTCCCACCTAGCCCTTTTAATTGTCCACGAGGATTCTATCGATCCATTGAAAGTGTTGGGTTTGGCTTCGACTCCATTGCAAAAGATTACAAGATTGTTACAATTTTACATGTTTATTTTGAAGGTCCTAGTGGATATCCTGAAGAGATAACGAAAAAGGTTGAGGTTTATGAATTGGAAAATGATTGTTGGAGAGAACTGGATCATGTGAATCAACAGTTGCCCAGCTTGTTTTGGTTGCCATGTTCTCAAATTTATTTCAGGGGATCTTGTCATTGGATTGCAATCCCAGAGGTAGACCCACTGGTAATTCTTTCTTTTGACATGAGCAAAGAGATTTTTCAAACTATGAAAATGCCCCAGACTTGTTATTTCATTGGTGGGCCAACTTATAGTCTAGTCATCTTAAACGAGTTTTTAACATTGATTTGTTACCGCTATCAACAGCCCGTAGTTGACCAAACAAAAGATTTGATTGACATTTGGATAATGAATGATTATGGTGTATGTGAATCTTGGAGTAAGGAATACACAGTTGCAGGTCTTCCTATTGAATCCCCATTATCAATTTGGAATGATTACTTATTGCTGTTTCAAAGTAAAAGTGGAAGTTTGATGTCATATAATCTCAACTCTAATGAAGTCAAGGAATTAAATTTACACGGTTTTCCTGGCACTTTGAGAGTTATAGTTTACAAGGAAAGCTTGATTTCCATTCCAAGAGGAAGCGAGGTTCGTGCACAGGTTGAAAAGTTCTAGAGAAGGTATCATCATCAACTTCAACCTGATAAATTAGATCCCAGAACAGCTTTTCCATTGTGAGGATTTAAGAACTCTTTTTTTTTTTTCGTCTAGAGCATCTCGTTCCATATGTTTTTTTTAGTAAAAGCAAATGTTTTACCCTTTGATATTGATGTTTATGGGTCAGTTGTTGGTTGAAACAAAAAAAAATAACTAATTTAGTCCGTTTAAAAATTGTAAAACAAAATATAATTTATATCTATGGATTTGGTTCAATTTTTAAGAAATCTAATAGTATGTCACTCTGTTATTTTTTATCTTACAATAATAAAAAAAAAAACTATCCTTTTCCAAATTACAATGTGTTACTAACCTTTTAATATTATGGCTATAATTCTTTGATCAACTGAATAAAGTTTATAAGAAATACAATATAAAAAGGTAGTTCTCATTGTTATATAGATTGTTGGGGAACAATGAAATATCACAATAATAATATAATTATTATGAAATATAACAAATATACTAAAAACAATATACACAAGATATATGGCAATTCCTTAAATGAACAAGTCTACAAGATCATCACTTAAAAAGACATGTTGAACTTTTATCTCGCCATTTTGTTGAAGATCATGTATGAAGAAGAACTTTGTGAAATGTACTTGGTTTAGTCTCCTTTGATATATCCTTCCTTCAAGTGAGCTATACATGTAAAATTATCTTAATACATGGTGGTTGTATTATCCTTCTTCAAAGAGATCAAATTTGATTTTTCTTTATATTAATCATCTCACAATCATTGGGGTACTCAATGGAATTGTTTTAAGAATTTTTAAATCCTTCAAGGATTTTCTTATAACATTTATCGTCTAGTTAGATATGACAATCATTCATTACACATAATTAAGTATTTCATCTATTGACAGACTAATACAAGTCTCACTACATCCCCCGCTAGAGAATATATCTTCATTTAATAATGTCAGAATTTTCGCAAAAATCCTTTATGCCCCGGAGCATAAGGCATACTTTATTTCTTACGATTATAATTTTACACAATGATTTATTTGTATCCCACTGACCTTATATTCATGGACTATAAGTCCAAAAAACTCACTTTTATAAGTGAAACATAATATACTTGAATTGTGAATTTCATTTGGCTAATCATTTATCTGTGTACACTTTATGAAAGATTTAAATTCAAGATCTTCGTCATCATCTGTAGCATTGAGCGCTACTTCATATCAAAGATATCATCTATGGTCATTCGACTCGATTCCAAAAAGACATAACTTATCAAGATATCTCTATTTTTTTTTTATCATTTTAGGCACCTCAATCTTTACCAAGATTTTATGAAGTGTTATGTCATCGTGCTCCTTTTAAAGCACTTGCCTCATTATCATGACCATTTGTTCATTTGCTCCTCTCCTTCCTCAAGGAGTTTTTCATTTGGAATCGATCGGTCTATAACGATTCAGGCGTACCATAGACTATGTCCTTCAAGGACTTCTCATTAAAACATTTGAAGCTGAATTGTAACATAGGGTTAGCAAATTCATATGACAATTAATTTGCAACATTATGCAAATGAATTATTCCTTGAACTTCAAGCTCACTTTTTTAATAAGGATCTAGATATTTCATCTCATAATTTTCAATTGTCAATTATCTCTCCCCCTAATGTTAGAAAATATAAATTCACCCCAACCTCATTTTGGGATCCATCTTTGTGTGTGGTGGAACAATTAAATCAGACATTGCACATTAGAACATTAACTGGAAATTATTTGGTTCCTGACCATGAATCAATTATGAGAGGTGAACCTTGTTAAATTGACATATGTTGCTACATGTTAAATAAATTCATCTCACACCACATTTTATTTGCGAGTTTTGTTCTCATACCCATGATTTAGCTATAATTGGAGGCATACAGTTTCTGCTAAACCAACCAGCATTATCAATATAATCTCATAGTTTGGAATTGTGCACTTAATTTAAAAATTCGAGAAAATAATCTTACAAAAACCAATTTGTAAGTTGACAACAAAGCACATGTAACCATCTCATAGATGCAACTATCATATAGTGACAAACGGTCCACATGGTAGGTGAACAGGCCCATATTCACCTTTTATATGTTTTCAAAAATCATGAAATACAATCCCAACCTTAGTTGGTATAAGGATACAATGATCATTTTATCATGAGAACAAGCAACATGAGAGAATTCTTGAAAATATTTTATTTCTTCATCATATAAACCAGGTGATTTCTCAATTACTTTTGCATCATATTTGAACCGAATGACCAACAGATCGTGATAACTGATCTTTATTTTTCTCAAACATCCTGTAGATGTGAGTTTTTGTCACGATCAAAAGTATACCCTGGGCATAACATGTCGTATAGAACCGCAAGAGACCCTACACAAGATAATTAGCATACATCATACAAGTTAATAGAAATAAAGACTTTTAAAGATAGTATTTCATATATCAAAGAGTTTAACAAAATGAAACTCTAATAATTTGTCTCAATATTTCATCTAATACATCATAAAGAAAGTGATTGAGACGTAACTCATACATCATATACAACGTTTGAAAATGGAAATTATAAAGTGTCTCGGAGGACTCACCAATTACTTTAAGCACCCAATAGATGTCTAGCCACAAATATGTGAGGTAAGAATGTTAGACCCTACATTTATGATGCAATATAGGCCCAAATATGCATTAGTACATGAAATATACTAAGTATGGGATAATATGCACAAAATAGATATGAATGTGATGGTTGATGTACTCAATGATGTTTCATCCAATTCTAAACATCAACGGTCGTTCAATAGTAATTAACCCAACTAGTGAGTTGGGGTCGAGTCCCAACGGAACAATTAGTAGTCGAGAATCAAGTAGAAAAGTAAAATTATGTTCTAATCAATTATAATTAAAGACTTTAACGAATAAAAGCATACTAAATCAAAGGGTGACACAAGTGTCAATTATGAAGGGGAGTTTGTAGTCAAATTAACAACTAAAAATAGCAAATAGTATTAAGATACGAATATGGAGATGGGATTCTTGGGATGTGATAGGAATATGGGCTAAAATAAACAACCGGGTAAATGCTATTCATACTAAATCGCTGTAAATTTGTAACTAAGCTAGACTTTAGTGGGGGTAAATTTTCTCTTGAACAATTTACCCCGAATCAAATTGATTTCTCTCGAACACCGATAAACAACAATTAAGCACAACCTTCGCCTTAGCCCATTCACTCTCTCGAGCTAAATGTGTGGGAGAGGGTTTAGGATTCACTCTCTCGAGCTGAACCCACAACAACCCAATAACCACAGGCTATCGATTCAGTAGTTTTGGTTTTAAAACCTCTCTCTCGAGTGACTTCACGTATCAGGATACTACTTCCAGTTCAAGTGCCAACGATCGCGAGTAGTAATATAACCCAACCAAGGGTTGGGATCGTTCCCACAGGGAGTGGTTTCGAGAATTAATAGAAAAGTAAAACTATGTTCTAATCAATCATCGCTAAGAGACATTAATGAATAAAAACATTCTAAATCAAAGGGGGTGACACGAATGTCGATTAACAATGGAGGAGTTTGTATTCGAATAATAGCAAAAAGATAGAAATAAAAATAGCAAAAATATAGAAATACAAGTAAGGAGATGGGATTCTTGGGATGTGATAGGAATATGGGCTAGAATAAACAACCGGGTAAATGCTATTGATAGTAAATCGCTGTAAATTTGTAACTATGCTAGACTTTAGTGGGGCTAAAATTTCTCTCGAACAATTTACCCCGAATCAAATCGGTTTCTCTCAAACACCGATTTTCAGCAATTAAGCACAGCCTTAGCCTTAGCCCATTTACTCTCTCAAGCTGAATGTGTGGAAGTAGGTCTAGGATTCACTCTCTCGAGCTGAACCCACGATGACCCACTAACTATAGCCTATCGATTCAGTAGTTTTGGTTTTAAAACCTCTCTCTCGAGCAAGATAAAAACATGAAAGATAAAATTGTATTTGCAACTATAATCCCATTAAATTCAAACACAACTATTGAACGAAACCCCCACTACACATTCAATTTGTGGTGTTTGTGTCAATCCCCACAAAATAATTCCTTTTGTGGCATCTTAAGTGTGGAGGTTGTAAAAGACCCCTGCTATACATTCAATTTGTGGCGTTTGTTTCAACCTCCAGAAAATCATTCTTGTTGTGGCAATATTTTTGTGCAGGTTTTGTACTACAAAAGAATGAAACGATCTCGATAATTTATTTTGAGTATGACGATGGTTTATAACGATAAATGAGGTAACACATCTTCATCATAATCATCGAGTACTTTATCTACAACCTTCTGATGCTCCAGGCACTGTTTTAGTACCAATCAAACTCACAGGGCCAGAAAACTATGACCTATGGAGTAGATCGATGAAATTATCCCGAAAGGTAAACTAGATTTTGTTGAAGGAACCTGCATCACAATTAATTACAAGGGAGATTTAGCAGAACAGTGGGAAAAATGCAACGCGATAGTGCTTTCATAGATTGGAAGCACAGTTGCAAACGAATAGATACCAGTAACTATGTACGCAACAAGTGCTAAGACGATCTGGCTACACTTCACAGAGATATTTGATAGAACAAATTTAACCATAATCTACAATCTCTGGACAGAAATTGTGACCTTAAGACAAGGAACAAACACAGTGACTACATACTATTTGAGGATGAAGGATCTATGGGATGAAGTTGATGTATCAGTGCCCTTACCAGCTTGTGATTGCTCAGAATCAGCTTCTTACATTGAACACTTGAAGTCACAACGCCTTTTACGCATTAAGGGTAAATAAATTGTATTTAAGTATGTCTTACCAAACAAATTATTTCTATTTTTCTATTTAAATAATAGTAAAAATAAAAGAGAGGAAAAAGTAAGAAAACATCCATATTATTTTTTATTTCCCTCCCTTTTAATC